GCTTCTAGGCATGGATGCACTAGTATGCATTCCATTCTTAAGACAACATGACCAGGAGAATGAACTGAGACTAGGCAGAGCAGGATAGACTTCTGGAAGGAGGAGGAGGAGAGGGAGAAGGGCTAAGAGCAGGATACCCTATCCAGACAAAGTACTGAAGCAGCACATCTCCTAACTGAACCTCAGCAAGAAGCAATATGAAAGGAATCTGCACTTCACTAAGACGGCCTCACTGAAATATGCTACCTGCTGCACTCCCAACTGAAGTCACAGAGCAAGGCAAGACTACATTGAGATTGGCTATGAAGATAGCTGCACAGATGAAGTTATAAAAACTTGGCTCCTCCCGGGCTAGACCTGAAGATGTTTGCAACATCCCAGGGTTTATTATCCACAGTTGTATTTGAGAGGTTGCTGAGGCTCTAATCAATGAAAGCTAATTGTAGTTCATTCTCTTTTACCAAAGAGAATTAGGTAGAATGATTTGATGGCTTTGCAAGGCTTGGAGGCCTCCTCTAATATGGGGTGCTAATGCTTTTCAGGAATTGTATGTCAACTCTACACTATACTAAACCTGGGAGGGATTCTACTCCCTCACTGTTTGGCTGGTTTATGATTATAGGCAGCAAAGTATGCAGGTCAGTACCAAGTTTTCCGAATGTAATGGCAGTACCTTCAGTTTGCACCACTACGTGGTGCCATCTGTATTTCAGCCACTGTAGCAAACCAAATGGTGGCTGCTGGTTAACATGGGCTTTATACTAATGCAATGTCTGATGACTCTGCTGGGTAATTCACACACGCGTGGCCAACAGTCATACAATGGAATCAGAGCTGCCACATGAAGTATGATGGAACGGACCATTGGAATGCTGCAACAATACTCTGCTGCCTGCACTGCTCAGGAGAAGCCCTTTGCTCCCAAGCACGTCGAGGTTTATGATGGTCCTCTGCATGTTGCACAAACTCGCCACCATAAGGGCAAAGCCTTTATTGCCACCAGAAATTTGTTAAGCCACTGAGGAGCAAGGGCATGAGTAAGTGAGAGAGGAGAGGCAATTTAGAAAGTGTCCAAAGCAAGCCCATCGCGAGGTGATACCAGCAAGGACTGGGACAGCAATCATAGGCCCCATGCTGGTCATGTGCTGGTTCCTGGTCCCAGACTTGAGCACTGCAGCACCGAATGTGATCTGCGCACAGTGACACCCTCCACCTCCTTTTTTCCAGAGCTCCAAACCCTCATTATTGGGTCCTGATATACACCCTATCCCAGGCTCTAGATACCAGTAAGTATCTAGAATCCCAATGTCCCAGCAGGAACCAGAGGTCCTACACCTTGGATAGAATCTTACAGAGTTTACGAAACCCCCACGTTGGCTTCACCAAAAAGAGACATTTTCATCTTGTGCCACTCAGGCAGTTAAAAGGCCACTGGCAGACCAAGGATGCTAGCATGGAGGTCCTGGCCAATCAGAGCCCAGCAGCTCGGTATTCCGTTTCACCACGTAGAGGCCTTGACTGCTTTCGGTGCTACCCCCACCTGGGGTCTTCAATTGAGGACGGACCCAAGCACAACTGGTGGGAAGGAGTTACAGTGTGGGAGAGGGGTGCCAATAGCAATGGCAGGGTCCCCTCCTTCCTGAAGCTAGGTTCCTCAACCAAGCACCAAATCCTTTTGTATGAGGAACCCTGCAATCCTGCCTGGGAGTCAGCAAGCAAACACATTGAGTTAATGCCATTGGCAGTAGGATGAGATCCTTTAGTAAGCATTAATTGACCACTTAATGGCCTCATTTGGCAGAGGGAAAAGTCAATGACTAATCCTTGTGCAATGATTTAGTGCCATCTCTTGTGTCTGTTTGCCTGTTTTGGTCCTGCTATGCAGTGCTCCCCTAGTGGCTGTAGAATGACTGGTGCAAGGCTGCAGGGGACTGCAGATAGTGTTGGAGAATAACCTCAGCCAGCTCTGGCCCTTGCTCTGGATTGTACCATGTTGATAAGGGTGGCAGTAATCTAGGTTGACTGGATGACCGGTAACAGCAGTGTCGGGCTGGCACGGTTAAGTGGATGAATGTCACCTTCCTGAAAGGTTCACGCTCCAGGGAAATTTCTCCACTCCTCCGGGGCAACACCTCAACAACTTGTCTCTGAAAGGTCAGAGCGCTGCACTGCTGTCTTCATCCTGCAAGCCCCTTCCACATACTGCAGTCCACAACTGTGTTTGCAGCAAGCTGAATTTATGCTGCTCCCTCTGTAGTGGGATCTATGTGTATCCTTGCTGTCCACTGAGGTGAGTCCGTGATTGAGTGGGGTGAAAATTGTGATTGTCAGTTATGAATCCAAATAAATGGAGACTGTTAATTGGTTGCGAGTGGTGAATTTAGCTATCTTAGACTAGAAGTGTAGTTGCCATTTGAAGATGCATTCACCGAGCCTGGCTACTCTTGTGAGGCCATTGAATTTCTGGTGACAGTACATCCAGATTCTCCAGGCTGATTGTTGACAATGCCCTTCATAGCGATTTGCTCCCACAAGCCCCTGAGCATGTATCAGGAGGGCTGCCTGGCATACAGGCTATCCCATCTCCCCGCTAAGGTCTCCAGTGCAGAGCCCAAGAACTCTGATGCCTGCTGTCTCTCATTAGTCAATGTTTCACAGGTCACTTGCACTTCCAGCACGACTGCCTGAACCTGCTCCATCCATAATACCCTTTTAAGCAGCGCAGGCTAACTTTATGCATTACTAGCAATCTTCAAGCGATGCCAGACAACCACAATATCGGCTCCCTTGCTGACGTGTCCAGAGGTCTGCACTAGCTGGTCAGTGAAATAATTGGAATGACTAGGCAGCACAAATTTGACACGCTGCCTGCATTGTAATCAGTGAGCCCGGGTTAATTGTTCATTGTGATCCCTATGCAATTTTCAAGGACCTTCCAATTTATTGTAGATGTCAGCATATAAGTAAATCTTCAAAGCTTCAAAATATCACTTCAAAAGTGCAGTTTGACTAATAGAGCGAGTATAAAAGTGAACCATCTGTGTGGGTGTTAGTTGTCACCACCTTTGTTGTTCGCTGTTTGCGGACGTGTCTTAAACACCGAGGTGTCTTCATAACTAAACCTATATCACCTGATTAATTTTTTGAACCTTGTTGTAAAGTACCTGCAAGTAAAGCATCCATTTGTGAATTGAAAAATTTAGGCTGATTACCTTTGTGAATACAGCATGTTATCGCTGAAACAGGGATGGACACAATCGTACATCAAGTATAGGCAAGAGAACATACATTTTGGAGTTGTCTTACATACTTTGGGTCACTTTGTATTCTGTGAACTATGGTGGTCCTCCCAGGATTGGAAAACCTGACCTTCTTCGAAATGTTGTTGTTTGAAAAAGCAAAATAAACAAATATGTTCAACGTTCGTGTTGTTGTTGGTCGTGAGTTAGGCTGTTGACAGTTATGGCCATAATTTGTTACCTGCTATCCCTTTATCCACTCCCTTCAAATGTGTGTGAGCATGTGCATGTATGCACACACACACACACACACACACACACACACACACACACACACACACGTTAATCCCCTTTGATTTAATTAAGTGCTTTTTCTCTGCTCTGCCAATTGGCATTTTGTTGCATACCATTGGCAGGCCAGAAAAAACCACCTCAAAGGCTGTAAACTATTCTTGTACAGTTAATAAGATGTAGATCTTAACAGTGAGGAGATAATAAATTAGTCCATAGATGGTATAAACAATAGCCTGAAAGGCATATAATGAGCTGTTTGTCATTAGTGTTCTAGTTAGACAGGGAAGAAGCAAACTGATTCATGTAGTGAAGCCTTTAGTGTGACAGCCTTACCTGAACAGATGCTTTAAAATTCCTCCTCCCCTGGTAAAACAGTACAGATTTGCTATTCTTCTGTCACACCAATGTTAACTTTCTCTCACCGATTGTAAGAGCAATGTCATTCGCATATATATATTCTAGAAAAGAAACTATTTTCTGTGTAAAACCGGTTTGCAGATTGAAATGATGATTTCAATCTCATATTTACCCCATTTACATTGAACGTCAAAACCATTGTGTCTAGATACCACTTTAGCTTCTATACCCACCTAAATTCTTGAATGGCATCAGAATTTCAACATTGCACAAAGTAGACAAGAAATCGAAACTTTTTATCTTGCTACAAAACGAGAAGCTTCAACTTCCTCTCTCCTTTTAACAATATTTAGCTTCTGTGGTGCCAAGCAATTATTCATCAACATTTCAGTTGAACCATAACAGTCAAAAAATGATACCATTCATTTATGCCACTAGCTTAAACTGAATGATGTTCAGGAGCCATAGCTTCCAGGGTAAATAGGTAGAAATTCACAGTCAAAAAGAATGCTAGCTCACCGCAGTAGGATAGAATGATCCTATAATGACCTCTGCCCTGCAAGAATATAAGAAGTCCTTACCGGCATGTTTGCATCATCAAACAATTAATCAGAGCAGTACAGTTGAGTAATATATAATAAAATTTCATGATATTAATGTGATATTAAATATGTGATAACACTGACAGAACAAAATAAATTTGAAATGTTTGTCATGCTGCAAAATGAGATTGTAGTAAAACCTATAAAGTTTCCTTGGAGCCAAACCATGATTTACAGCATTTAATCAAAGAAATGGCAATCCCTGCTCATTTACTTCTCTCTCCACAAGCATCAGAATCTTTATTTTGATTAACTCAGGATTTCTCACCTTGCCTCCCAACACCCCTCCCCACTACTTGCTACAAAAAAACAATTGCGTCCTTCCCCACCGTCCAAACTGAAATCCCTTACAATATTGAGTGCAAATAAGCTATTTGTTCTTGTGGATTTCTGTTTTAGTAGCAAATTGAAGAAATGAAAACCATTTGCTGTATCTCTTAGGTATATGCATCCACAGTGTGTGACATTGTAATGCTGTTATCTGCTTTTTTTTCTCTCCCCTTTCCAGGATTCTCCACATTATCTCTGGCTGATCAGATGAGCCTCCTCCAGAGTGCCTGGATGGAGATTCTGATCTTGGGAATTGTGTACAGGTCGCTGTCTTTTGAGGATGAGCTGGTATATGCCGAAGACTACATCATGGATGAAGACCAGTCAAAGTTAGCTGGGCTTCTTGATTTGAATAACGCCATACTGCAGCTGGTAAAGAAATACAAGAGCATGAAGCTGGAGAAAGAAGAGTTTGTCACCCTGAAAGCTATAGCGCTCGCTAATTCAGGTTGGCAGTTTTGCTTGACTGTACGCGGTTTCAACAAGTCATTGTCTTTCTCATCTCCTCCCCATACCCTTTTAACCCCTTCTATGTTGGCAAACTCACCTATGAAAAGAAAAGGATACCTGTTTTGGTTTAAACATATACTTACTTTGTAGCAAAAAGCCAATGTCTCAAGTTCATACTTGCTTCATGTTTTACGATAAGCCAAAGAATAAATTAAAATCAAAGCAAAAAATTATGGATGCTGGCAACCTGAAACAGAACCAAGGGTGTAGGAGAAACTTAGCAGGCCTGACAGCATATGTGTAAGGAAAACAGAGTTAACATTTTGAGTCACATATGATTCTTCTTCAGAAGTGAGGTACATTACCAAAGAAGAATCATAATGGACTTGAAGCATTAACTCTGTTTGTTTCTCCATAGGTGCTGCCAGACCTGCTGAGCATTTCGAGTGCATTCTGTTTCAGTTGCCAAAGTATTCATTGTTTGGAAAAAAAGCGATTGACAATGTGTATGAAAATGTGATATCACTAATTACAGTTATGTTGCTACTTTCATGAAGTCAGACATACTGTACACTGCTTCAATCTTGTGTAACAGAAGTAAAACCTGTCTTCAGTGAGTCAAAGTTTTGCTTTCAGCATTTTCACTATAATTGTAAAAATCTGAAAAGCAAACTTTGTTTCTCATGAATGCATTAACAGCACCAGCACAAAAGGGGTTAATTTTTCTAGCATGTACATTAGCCAGATTTGAATTTAAAGTGCAGAAGCAATTGGGAATGAATCATGAATAAAATCGTTTGTGCTTTGTTGTTCTTTGCCTTCTCCCCAATGCTTTATCGTGGTCTTTAGGCACTTTTAACATTTGCATAAAGTTCATGATAGATCACTCTTTAATAACATGCTGATCGTTAGCTACCTGTATGTCAATAACAGCTCTGATGTTGTGTACCGTTGACAATCATGCCATGTCCCTCTATTTCCCCCTGCCTTCTTTTGTTTTGACCTAATCTTTGAACTTTATCTTGGTTGCCGGCCAGTAGTTTTCTCTTTAATTACAAGAAGGAAACTGTCAATAAAATCTGTTAAATGGAATGCAATGAGTAGCTGAATGGGAGGACAGCCATTTGTTCAAATTCTACAGCATTCAAGGTATTGACAGTTTGTTTTCTGAGGCCATATGTGCTGATCAATCTCAGGCTGGGCTCAGCCACGCTGAAAAATGAAAAACCAGATTGCTTTTGCTTATTTTCGGATGACAGCTCTTGATTTGGTGGGTCCGAGATGAACCTTCTGCCAAATTGTACCCCAGAGAACCAAAGCGTGACTGTTTTGAAAATTATTTTTTAATTGATTTTGTAATTAACAGTTCATCTCATATATTGATGTGCAAATTCCCAGATTGATGGGAGGGAAATTGTTTCAACAAAAAGTTGCACTTTTTCTATTTGTCTCAGCAACTGTTGTCAGCACTTTACTACTCTGATGAGGGAACAAGAATAAGTTGGGAGCAGAAGGCTATCAGTTGTCATGACGTTTCTGCACTCCGTAAATTGAGAGAACCAATACATTTTCTTGCCTTCTTTATTAGACTGGTTTGAAACATTAACCTACCTTCTGATTTGATTTTGTCTGTATATGGTGGATATTTATACATGTTCTGTTTTGCATACCAAACTAAGATGCTATTTAGGTGTCATCAAGTGAGGCTTCAACTGTTTCAGACTCAGATCCCAGGGTATCTGATTAATAGTGGATTTTAACAATCCAGGAACAATCAAGCCAAACCAGTAGGACCTGTCCTGGGATGCTGCAAATACATCAAAATGAACTGTCATACACAATTACAATCTGAAAGAAAATATTGCAAGAAGATTAAGCATACCAATCTTCATATTTTAGAAACTACAGATTGAGGAAAGCATCCGAAGTTTTATTCACAATTTCAGTCCAAAACATTTTGTAGTATGCGATTTGCTGATTCATGTGAAATGCTCTTTAAAACAAGCAGAAATACATGTTTAAATGAAAGGGAAAAAAAACCCAGCTCACTGAAATAAATGTTTAATAAATTGGAAACAATACAGAACTTAATTATCCATTGCAGTAGAAATATGAAAGCAAAGTATTAATACAGATGGAAGTACCCTTGATATTCAAATTAAAAGCTAGTTTTGCTTCACTTCACTGAAAGCTGTTCCATTTAGAATGAACAGATGAAAATAACAATCATAATGTTAAACTTATTTTATCATTTCACTGTTAGATCCTCATTGATTATAAATTACAGTATTGGCCCCTGTTAATTGCTGTCATTGTTGTCCATTTGTAGCTTTTAAGTAAGCTTCATCATATCATTGATAGAGGAAAGTAAGTTTCGAGGACATTTCTTTTTCTTCTTGGGTAATCCTTTGGGGTCAAGGCTGACGAGGATAATTAACAGAACATAAATTATAAAATGTACATTTGTAAATACTTTGGTTATTGTATGAAAATACAACACAGGCAGGTTTTAGGCAGTTAAAATCTATAGAATACAATCCAATATTGAACTCTTGCGTGAAAGAGCCATTTTTATTTCTTTATTTGAAGGTTGGGATTGTTCTGTATAAACTTGCAGTTAAGTACAAGTATCTGATCAACATTTTAAAAATGCTAAAACATTAAGTAATTGAACTATAAATTAAACATTTTATAATGTCAAAATACATATGTACTCTTGTCTTTCTTTCAGTACAGTGGTGTTAACAGAGTTTTCATGTTGTCTTGTATAGATTCAATGCACATAGAAGATGTTGAGGCTGTTCAGAAGCTGCAAGATGTCTTGCATGAGGCCCTGCAGGACTATGAAGCTGGGCAGCATGGGGAAGATCCACGCCGTGCTGGTAAGCTACTGATGACTCTCCCTCTTCTCCGGCAGACCTCTACCAAAGCTGTGCAGCATTTCTACAACATCAAACTGGAAGGCAAAGTTCCCATGCACAAACTATTCTTGGAAATGCTGGAGGCCAAGGTCTGACTAGAGGAACCTAGGCCTTCCCGTGAAACCACACAGAATGGGTTAGGCCACAGCAAAGGGAAGAAACGTAGGAATTGAACCAGACAAAAGTTAACTGTAGTGTTTAATTGAGAAAACAGAACTGCACTGATATTTAGCAGTATGACTGTGAAGCAGCTTTCAACTTCTCATTCTTCTAGGATTTTTTCATGCAGATTTTGCTGTTGAACTTTTTAATGAGGTCTCTAAATGAAGAGAGAGAAGGAAGCCAGCCCTGCCAAAGGATGGGAATCCATAATATGGATGCCATTGAACTAATAATAAGAGAAATATCCCCATCAACAAAGGATTCAGACTGACAACTGTTTTACCTAGCAGTACAGCGCATTGACTGAATGCAGTGTTAGGTTCCATATGAACAGTCTGTAATTAAGCAACGGAGCAGCGTTGCATTGGCTGCTTCTTCTCATTGCATTTTTTCCACCTTAGATCAGTTACAGCCATTTAATTCCTTAATTGTTTTCAAGTCTTCCAGATATTTCTTAGGTTAGGAACTATGTCTATTTCAGGGAATAGTAAGCTTTACTCAGTCACGCAATACTGAAAATACTGCATTTATTTGCTGGCTGGAAAAACGATGGACAGTTATGAAGAACAAACAAAACTTTTTTTAAAACCTTTGTTGTTGATGTTGTTTATGGGTTTTTTGTACCAGCTTTACCACTACAGCCATTTTATTAATCTGTGAATTTATCTTAAGCAATAGTGAATGAGAAGGTGCATACTTTTTATGGATGCAATTTATGTTGAGTGCCAGTTCAGTCAAAATCCTCAACTTCTTGAACACAAGGTAATACATAGCTTCAAGTTCATTATTGCAATTAGATTACACCTTTATTAATAGGCTAGTTGATCTGACAATTGAATCCAATGCAACAAGATTATACACTAGCTTGCCCCAGCATACCTTGGAAATATGGTACTAATGTAAAATAATGTACTTTACAGGCATATTTATTAACCATTCAAAACATGACTGATAAGGTGTAAATTTGATTTAGCAACTAATCAGATGTTTTTCCTCCCCCTTAAAAGCTACATTTGCTACATTTTAAAACAAATGAAGGCGCTAACCTGTACCAAGTACTCAAATGTCAGTATTAATAGCTGCTCCCTGTTGTACCATGTGACATCCTCTTCTGTGTACACTTATGTAATCAAAGATTGTGAGCCTAACCTGAGGTCATGTATTGGAAACAAAAAAAAATGTTGTAGTTCAGCTTGCAATGTTTCATGTTTGCTGTGTTCTTCTAATTTTAGTTGAATTCAAAGACTGTTGTCTTGTTCTTATTGTGGTGTTAGATTCTTGTGATTGTACGCATTAGACACAGGGTAGAATTAGAGACAGTAATGGATGTAAAATTCCTCAGGAGATAGTGTATTCTATTCCTTACTGGTGATAAGATTGCTCCTATTAATAATAAGAACAAATAGTTTAAGAATCAGAACAAATATCTCTTCCAACAATACACATTTAAATCATTAATTTAAAAAGGGATATTTTGTGTAACAGTTTATTGTAGAATAACAATGTATATCTTAGAAAAGAATTTGAAATTTCCAAACAATAGGTAAATGTCTAATTTTTAAATGCTGTAAATATAGCTATGTTCAAACATCTCAAATGGTTGTTAAAACCAGCTTTGTGTCGTTACAAGTTTTTGGTGCAGACAAGTTTCCCAAACTACTGCTACATTGTGTGCTTTGAACAAAAAAAAGACAAAAAGGTTGATGGTATGCATCAACCTTGTGCTATAAATACTGTGTATCATTAGCCGTACGAGACTATATAGTAGATTGTGGTTTCTCAGTAGAGAATTGACTGTACTGTGATTCTAGACTTTATTCATCATTAGCAGCTCATTCAGGTGGTCAATAACTTGAAGTTTATAGCTGTAATAGGGAACTAAGAAACTGGCACGACCCTTTAAAAAAAATCCAACTCCTGGGAGTAAGGTGCTGATTTTGAGTAACAGGAGCTAAGCTCTGTGGAGTGCAAGGGAAGGATTTAAGGTTTATTTTGCTCATGCTTATGGTTAGAACCAGCAGCAAAATCTCATTTATCAATGCTCAGATCAGCAAAATGAGATAGTTAAAATGAAGGTTCTATGTTTTAAGCTGTATCTGTTTTTTCTTCTTTTTTTCTTTACGATTATCTTTATTTTCTGTTTAATTATGGCAATATGATTGTGTGACTCTTCAACAGTTGCACTTGCATTTCAATCAGAACAAATATTTATTCCACTATTTGCATTTTAAGAACAGACAGGTTTCAAAATAATATGAAAAAATTATAAACAGCTATTTTTCTTATATAGAACAGAATGTTGGGTGTTGGTGATTGTATTTAAATTATTTATGCATCTGTGTTTACCTGCCTACAAACAATTTATGGCAGTCTTACATGCAAAGTTTAAAAGCAGAAAAAAGTTTTAAAAAAGCTACAAATACCAGGAGTTGAAGTTTAACCTGTAGTGAAAAACCATGTCTGTAGGTCTAGGCAAGCTTTGTGCTTCACATCTGTAAACAATCAACTGTATATTTTTGTGACGTGTATCATACTGTGTGCTCTGACAAATGTCCATTTGTGTAAATGTATTTATTTTATATTGTATATATTGTTAATGCAAAAGGAGACAATGATTCTGTAACTTTAATCAGTTCCAATGTGTACTCTAATTATGCCTTTCAGGATGATGGTAGAGCAATATTAAACAAGCTTCCACTTTTACATGCTTGAGTTTGTAGAACGTGTATTTTTTGGAAACACAGAGCTCAACAAAATTGGAACTATTGAGTTTTATGTTTTGTTATTAAAGCCCCATGATAAAGGGACTCTAAACAGCCAATAATAGAATTTACTGATTTGCACAAATGCATTAATTGTGGCCAAATTTTGTTCAGACTTCAGATCGTGATTTAATATCTTGCTTTGATATCATTGCAATCTGAATGTAATCTCAAAACTGCTGCTATGCTTTGAAACAGAAGCACAAAACTTTGAAGTACGATGTTCCGTGAGACCCCAAGAGAGGAGTTTGCAGATTCCTTCTGACTTGAATCCTGACTACTACTGATCAAGTGCCACCCACAAAAGAGGAGGGGAAAATCAGGCAGGCGGTGGCAACATTATCAGACCACTGATGGTACATTTTCAGGACAGCCTTGGTGATGAGATGTCTCTCAATCTCAGTGACATGCTGCCGAAGGCAACTAAGATGGAGTGAACTGAAAACAGCAAATGCTGGAGATCACAGTGGGTCAGACAGCATCTATGGAGACAGAGCAAGCTAATGTTTGATCTCCAGCATTTGTTGTTTGCACTACAGATTCCAGCATCTGCAAAATTTGCTCCTAAGGTAGAGTGAATATTAAAAAAAAATTAACTGATGCCCTCACAAAAACAAAGAAACAACAACAGAGGTGCTTGCTCTGGGTAGAAAACAATGTAAAATCAATGTCAGAGATAGTAGGAACTGCCGATGCTGGAGAATCTGAAATAACAAGGTGTAGAGCTGGATGAACACAGCAGACCAAGGAGCATCAGAGGAGCAGGAAAGCTGACGTTTCGGGTCTGGACCCTTCTTCAGAAACCCGAAACATCAGCTTTCTTGCTCCTCTGATGCTGCTTGGCCTGCTGTGTTCATCCAGCTCTACACCTTGTTATCTCAAGTCAATGTCAGATCTTTTATTGCTGTTTCTGGTAATATAACTTATCAACACCCTTTTATCATCCCCAACATTGACATTTTATGAGTATGTTCCACTTTACTAGCTGCCCACTGAATGAGTCTGACTGCATTCTGAATAAAACAGAAAGCACCAATGGCACATTCATTGTTGTAAAAAGTTCTACTTTTCTATAGTCACAGAAGGTTTTGCCACCCCAGAAAGTGTGCAGTAGTTGCCAGGGAAGAACTAGGATTCCTAAATGCGAAGTGTGTGGCAGTGTGCAAAGATAAACTTAATGAGGATTAATATATGAACAATTAATTTGATCAGTCAGTTTCAGGACAGTTGGAAATAATATTTTGTTGCTCTTTACTGTTCCATCAATGTCTCAAACTTCACCTATTTATATAGCTACAAAGAGAAAGTGAGAGAGATGGAGACAAGTAGATGGACAGCGAAACCTTAAAACTGTATAGAAACCGATAGAACTGCGGATGGTGTAAATTGGGAACAAAAACAAAGTTGCTGGAAAAGCTCAGCAGGTCTGGCTGCATCTGTGACGAAAAAAAAGAGTTAACGTTTCAGGTCTGTTTTGTTTTTCAGTTCTAAGGAAGGGTCACCGGACCCGAAACGTTAACTCTGTTTTTTTCCTTCACAGATGCTGCCAGACCTGCTGAGCTTTTCCAGCAACTTTTTTTTTTGCCCATGTTTTAAACCTTAAAATTTATTGGCTGCAAAGTAGCCACAGGAAATTCCATGCTTCAGAAATAGTCACTGCATTAACCTTTTATGTCTGATTTCTGCTTGACTTGTGAGGTTTGTTTCATCCTTCATTAGGGCTAAAAATATTGATGACCTAAAGTTCCTGGTGGAGAAGGATGAAAATCTTAATCCAACTGGGAAGAGTTTGGAATTTTGGACACAACCTAGTTATACTAAATTCATATAACCCCTTGGATCTTTCTAATAAATAGCTACTAAGTAGGTCCTTGTTTTTGACTGGCACAGACTTGACAGGCCAAAGGGCTTTGTTTTCAGTGCTGTCGACCTCTGACTCTATGGCTCTGTGACCTTAAATTTTGCTCAGGAAAGTACCAATGAATTTTCCACCAATCCACTGCACATCAAGGTAGCTTACTAAGGGGAATCCCTGGGGTTTTTTGTTAGAATTTTGGCCCTTAATTGCTCTAAAAGACTTCCATCAATTATCATGCCAACTCTTGAACTCCCTTTTAGAAGTCATTCCTGTTCTAGGATGACGTTAGTAATCAATGTTAAAATGAGTCAATCTTCTTGTTTGGAAGGCTCCTTTCAGAGCTAAAGAATTGAAATAAAAATCACTAATATCTTTGGCCCTGGTGCATCTGGTGAAATGCCAAACAAAGCTGTTATGGGCTGCTCTTGCTAAAAAGGATGACTTAGGGTAGGTGGGTGTTGCTAATGCTATCTTGAAGGTGTCCACACCCTTGCTTTTGGGATGAGGGTCTTCTGACTTTTTATTGTATCTAATGAATCAGAATATTTATTTCATTCAGTTACTCAGGAAATTATCTTTTTTTCAGTTGTTCCCTGCACACACCAACCACCCCCCCAACCCCCGCAACAGCTCACTGGCACGCAACTCCATGCCTGCCACCACCCCATAGCTTCAGTTGTCACAGTATTTTTTATCTGCAAGAATTGGATATTCTTGGCTGTAGCCTTCCACCTAACTATTATGCAATGCATTTTCTTCTCTTCATTAATTTTAGTGGACAAATAAAAAGGAATATAAAACATTTTAACAGCCAGGCCTCATTGGCATTCTGCTTGCTGACTTCCTGATCAAAACATCCGAGTAGTGAATGGAAAGCAGCTGCCTAGCCATTAAAGTCAAGCTGTTCGGAATCATCCACAGAGATCAGAGGGAGCACTACCCAACACCATGGCAAGTGGGTAGGTTGGGGTGACTGTGTGTGCATAGATTTAGTCAGAATCTAGAAGATGGGTGGCACAATTCATGCCAATAGAAACACACATGCTCCGGATTGTGTAATAGAAAGTTAACCCTCTCCTGCCAATTTTCAACCTGTTCCCAAAATGACAATTACTCCCACTGCACATTAGAGGTTCAATGTGGTTGAATTATTGCCGTGTTTTTTTTTCATTATTCAATACAAAAGTTCTCGTGGTGTTTATCCTTACTTTAAGTACTCCATTAAAATCTCGAACAACCTGAAAAGGTTTATTTATGTTGTCTTTATGAATTACGTTTTTGAGTGATCTCAACTGTTCTAAAACTCTGGGTGGATATAATCTGTCGTAATTCGTTCAGTGTTAGAGATGATTGGATGTCAATTATCAAAAGAACAAGATGATTGAAAAGTAGGTGTTTAATTTATACAGAAACTTAACTCTTTTTAAGAAAATTAAAGGACTTTTTAAAAAAAACAAGTTGCTTTTTGAGTATTTGTTTTCATTGACGGTGTTATGTATTCTTAGGAAGAGAAGGATTGAAAAGATTAGTGGAATTCAATGTTCTCCTTGAACATACAGACTCCTCTGTTTTCTCAAATGAAAATGATTAGCATTTTTTAAAAAATCTATTGTATGAGTATGTACCGATATATACAATATGATCCTCATTTGTCACAAACAAATTGCTGGCAATTAAAGTAAGAAATATCCACTTTATTTTTTAATTCTGCAGAGAAAACATTTGGTATTCTGTGTCACATGCTCTTACACATTTAATCTGATATTTATTTACACATTTATTCTTGACATTTTAAATGCAAGAGAACAGCTTTGAGCCAAACTGATTTGAACCAGAGAGTTTGAAAAGAACTTTTATTAAACTCATTCAAAATATGATCCAAGGTACACCAGATGTTATGAAGTAAATAATAGTAAGCAGACCCTAGTTTGACTTTTAATGCAATAAAGAAAAAATGTAATTTAACTACATTGAGCATTAAGAGACGGGATAAAATTGTAGAGGAAAGTTGCATTATAAGTGCCTCATTGCATTATGAATAAAGCAGAACAGTAGCTGATAACTGTGCTAAGAATTGACCACATCTTATACAGTTAAATGATGTGTCTCCCTCGGATCCAATGCACATTCCTTCAAGGTTTAGGCATTGGCATCATTTTCAACCTTGCAGAATATCTGTCCTCCCATCAATTATCTGCTTAGTAATGCAGGCTGCAGCTAACAATACGACTGTTCTATAGATTGAAGTTAACTTCTCACTTTTAATGCATAAAGCATTTAAAACTAATATTTATGCATTCTTAAAACAAACTGCAATATACTATTAGCAAGAAGCAGGGAACTAAATTAGGTGTGGGGATTATTATGGGCAATTAACTCATGCCTATTCATTTTAATGCAAACAACATGCCAACTTTGTGCTGGCTGCTCATCTGGTTGATTCCTCTGCATAACCAACATTGACTACAAGAAGCATTGGCTAAACGCATCAGTAGGACACCCAAAACTGTGACCGTTTAGTGTCAGTATGTACCTCTTGGAGTGGAGTTGCATTTTGACTGAACTGGAAACTGGTAGTTACTTGAGTGGAAAGTAAATTTGACGTAGGAAAAAGTGAAGTATGACTCAGTATGTGAAAGATCTGCCTCAAAGGGTAGCAGATATTGCACTGGATGCCCTGGTGGAAAGAGGACACAAGAACTGTAGCCGTGACATGGGTGTGAATTGGAGGAGCACAGGTTCCTCCAGACATTTGATCAAAAGACGATGAAAGCAGAGATTAATGCGAGGAGGCAACATGGAAGACCTAAGTGCAGTCCTCTAAGAAGTTCAAATGAAGTCACACAAATGGTCAAGGTCAGTGAGTGCATCTTCAAATGGAATACCCTGTCACCTGCACCACTTGTCTTACACACTAAACAATTCATCACTGCCTCATCACTCAGCTATCAATCTCAATCAATCATAACTTTTGCCTGACATTTGTATACTTCACCAAAATGAATACTGCTGCAAGTCTCACACCTACACATCACAGCTTCCACACTGCTAGCTATTCAACCATGACAGCCACAACAGATTCA